AAATTTTGAATTAAACCATTGCACTAACAGAATGAGTATTGAAGTCTATAAAAAAGTTAAATGTCATGTTCTATGTTGAAGAGATTTGAGAAAGATTTTGACTATATAAACGAGTGCATTGTACACTTCAATGAATTAATTTTTTGATGAGAGAGTAATGGTTTTATAATAAAGTGGTATTAGAACCATACCTGAATTTATCCAATCGATCACATTAGAAGAACTTGAAGAAAATCTTAATTATATTGAGCCTGCTCTTTCTAAAAAGGGTAATGGTCTCGTAACATAAATTTTCAAAAGTTGATCCTTTTCAGCAGCCAAATTGTTGAAGGCCTCTAATTTCTAGTCCAAGCAGGGGTTGATTCATTGTGAGATCTAGAATCTAGATCTTTCAAATAATCAGATTCAATATATTGAATATCTTGCACCCCTTGCGCAGCTGAAGCTTGTTTCACCGGATCTGTGCGAGTTTCCAGTGGTCAAGGATTATCGATGAATGGCTTGAGCCATCAAGCTAATGGATTTCACGTTGCACCGCTTGTGGGTGGTGGTGTTGAAGAGTATGACATGGATGGCGATGAGGAAGAAGGGAATGATTGAATTCTCTCTGTTTTTTTTTTTGTTTTTATTTTTGCCATAGATCTAGTTTTCTACTTGAGACGGGAGCATGTCAGTTAAATGATTGAATTCACCATAACTACACTTTTCATAATTTTTTTTTTAAGAAATGAGTGGCAAATAGCTAAATACCTAATTAAACAATTATAAATAGGAATTTTTGTTATTTAAATACCTTACATGCAATCAGTTAAAACTCGCGAATTTCTTTAACAAAAAACAATTAAAACTCATGAATTTATAATTGTTTGAATCTCCAAACTTGCTTTGGAGTTGCCTCTATGGTATGGCCTCCAGCTACAGTTTGTCTTTTTATAGCCTTGCCGACACGCCTCTGGCTTTGGCTTCTTATCATATTCAAGTACGTTGATTTCGCATTATGATCATTTGAAATCTGTTGCTTTTTATGCAGAAACTTCATTTTCCACACTTTTTTTTTTTGAACACACGATTCTATATTTGCTAATCCTTACATAGTTTGCTGCCAATTAAACACAGATCTAACTACGTTGAAGATCCTTTATTTTGTGTTTAGTTGGATACGCATTTAGACTCGGCTCCTTTTTGCAATCTTCAGATCATGGTAACTTACCTTTGTCTGACACGTTGTATTGGCCCATCATGAGAAAGTTGCTTTTTCTCTCCCTTCACCTGTTTTGGTGTTAGTTCTTTATCGTTTAAATGGTAAGTTTGCACTTTACTTAGTGAAGATCAGGTTGGTTAATTATGTGTCGAAGTAGACTTATGATTCATAATGACCTTGGACATAGATGGGACCATAGCCCTGCTCTTCTTTTTATGTTTTAATGTCTATTTATTTTTTGTCTTGTCAGTCATATGATGGTTTAGTTAGAGCACGGGGATTGGATGACCTTCAAAAGATGATTATGACTAAAACGGATTATTACTATTAGATTGTCTGGGATATATTCAGTAATCAAGGCATGAGGATTTCAACGCCTGACTTCTTCAAATATTTCACCCCATTCTTGCCACTCGTGCAATCCCTTGCTGGTTAATTAATTCAAAATTTTAAATAAATTAAAAAGTTTGGATTTATAAAAAATCTCTCATAAAATTAATTTATTACATGGGATATATCAAGAAAAAATGCTATAAAATTAATCAATATTGACAAAAGATATAATTTAATTATTTACAATGTTATCTTTTCAATTTAATTTCCTTGCAAATAAAATAAAATAATTTTTAGTCAAATGATTTTGTAAAATTATTTTCTTAATTTGATTTATCTCATTCAACAGCCTGCAATCAAGCAATAACTAGATTAGAATTTTGAATTTGTAAAATTATTTTCATAATTTGTTCTTATATTTCCCATTACCCTGCTGCGTGCTCTTCTATCATTTTTTTTTTAGTGCAGGATTGCTTTTTTTTTTTTTCCCTAAAATGCTCACGTTCTTAAGAATTGTTTATCATGATGAAGAGTTGATATAATTTTCTTTTCGTTTTTTTTTTGTTCCGGACATTTCTCTGTGTTAAACTAGTACATCTTGCTCAGTTTCTTTTGGCCTCATTTTCTGTGTGTTAATTTTCTCTTGAAATTGATTGCGTCGCAGCACGATCCAAATATGTATGACAGTTCTAAAATTTATTCGTCAGGTTAGAATCTAAGAAGAATTAATTGAAACTCGTATTTCTTTCGTGTTAAATTTAATATCTCAATTTATACGAGTTAAATAAAATTAAGTAAAGTGATATGCGTATCTAAAAAATTTATAATTGAATGTGAGATCTCAATTAGCTCGAGTATAAGCAGACATATAATTTACCAGACCTATGAAGTTTGTAGAGAGTTTAGAGATAATAGAGATAATGAAAAACGTATATATATCATGTATTTGATGATCGATTGGTTGACTTATATAAACTAATTCAAAAACAGTTTTCATAAATAATTTAGTTAATTATCTCACATTATCCTCAACCTTTACCCAGTCAATTTAAATATACAAAATAATTGATAGCTACAAATTTTATTGATTGAATCTCTGCTCATCGAGTTCACTTGTGTGATTTATTTATCACGATTTAGACAAGATGATAAAGATCAATCTATTTAAATTTATTAATTAATGCAAATTCATAATATTTATAAATAACCTAACATTTCATCTATTGATCTATCCATCTCTCGTGTTAATTAATAAATTGTGTTATGAGTATGGGCAATCATTAACTTCACGAGAAAAAAAGCAGACTTTCAATTGTGAATTAATATTGTACTGTTTCCAGATTCTTGAAACGACTTTCATGGGAACATAAGGAAAAATGAGGGGATTTGTTTGTTTACACCTCATTTACTCTTTGCTTCTTTCTTAACTTATGTTGTAACCCACGTAAGATTGTTCTGGATGGAATTTGGCATTGCAGGTGACTGTATTCTTTGACGAATTTTTCATCTGTGAAATCCGAGGATGAAATCAAACTGCATCTTATCCAGTGTCCCGATGAACCGCCGGCATAAAACATGGCGTACTTGAGAATGGTTTGTGTAAAGCTTTCCATTGGCATGAGGCTCGTGCTATTATTGAACCAAACCTGCATTAGCAATAGCATATTGAAGCAATCAGGTAGTTGTGGCCGGGGCAGTGTCAATTTGATCACTGTCTTGAGCCCTCTCTCTGTTGATTAAATAAATATATTCACATCTCTCATCAAATCTAAATCTTCCACAACGGCCATTCATAGTTATTTGGAAATAAACGAGGAAAGAGACGGCGCCAATTTAATATTAGAATACGAGAGTATCCATTACAAATAAATAAATAAATAAAAAAAGGGAATAGGAGAGGATCCAATGATTCCGGGCTCGTCAATCAAACGTGTTAATCAAGGAGCCATCGGCCGTACTGTAGAGTATCCTTAGTGGACACGTACCATTGGCGAAGCCTAGCACCAATCTTCCACTAAATTATAAATTAATTACCATGATTCCGAAGGTTCCATTGCTCTCCCTGCAATTTTATAAAAGAATAAATCAACACCAATCCGCAGTCCCTCCTTCCCACTTCTCACCTCAATGTTCTCTGTCCCACATGACGATAGGGTCGCCAGCGTGCAATGAGAACCTTTTTTTTTTTTTTTTTGGAGAGAAGGTCCGTGAGGGCCCATGTTAATGCACCAATTCAGAATTCAGGACTCATCTAATGTTGCAATAAAAAATAAGAATCCACAACCTTTTTTCCTTTTTTTAATTTTATCTTGCCAACATAATAATCCATGAGCTGTGGAGTTATCATCAGACGCCTCCTTCTTTCACCGCATACGTGGCGTTGAATTTGGACAGCTACTTTTGAGTTCATCTAGCCTGACATTTTTTTTTTACAAAAATTAACATATACTTCTTTCGGTTAAAAATATAAAATTTTTTAATTAAATTTTATTTTTTAATAAAATAATTATTTATTTTAAAATTAATTTTAAATTTTTATATTTATTTTTATTAAACACACTGTAATAAATATAAAATCATCCATTAATAGAGTCACTTTTTAAAAAAAGTAATGATTACACCTCAAAAAATTAAAAATATCTTACATTTTTAAACATTTAACTTTTTAAAAAATACTTTATATTTTTAAATGGAGAGAGTATATGTTTATAGTTTTTTTAAATTTTAAATTAGGTCTCTATACTTTATTTTATTTTAATAAAACCATTATATTTTGATGAATTAAATATGTTAATTTCTGAAAGTTAAATTAATAATTAATTATTAACTTTCACAAAGCAAAAATATTCATGCAGAAAAGTTGATTTAATATTTTTAGCCAAAATTTAAAAATAAAATTTGATTTAATACACTATTTATTTTTTAATAATAATTTATATGTATAAATATTATCTATAAGGCAACCCGATTATATAAATTTTAAGTTATAAAAATTTATATAATTAAGACTACAGTTATATAATCTTTTAATGAAAATATAAAAATTTAAATTTTGTTTTCTTAAAAGAAAATTTCAAGAATTTTAATTTCAGAGATTGAAAAATCTAACAGATCAAAAAATAATAAGAGATCGATTAAAACATAATAAATTGCAAAACATAATTTTTTTATGAACAAAAACATAATTTTAAATTAAAAGAAACTGTGAAGAAGCGGGCATATATTTTCGTGTGTGTATTTTAGTGTTTTTTTGGTGGTTAACGTTTAACAAGAGGCACGATAAAAAAGAATCTTGCATTGCGTCGCGTCTTGTGTCAATTCTTTATCGAATGGATTTGATTAAAGTAATGTCAAGTCTCTATTATTATCATGCGTTTAAGGAAAAACGCCAATCGCACACGCAACGCAACCTCCCCGGTGGATCCTCTCACAGTAATTAAATAAAGCTACTTTTTAAATACAGAGCACGAAACTGCTTGATCAAATTAAAAACGAAAATTGGATGGTAAGCGTCAAACTTTTTTTGGGCTAGCAGGCGCTTCTATTTTTAATGTTGTTGATAAGGCAAGGGACAAGCTGCAGATTCAAAATAATTGAATCTACTGTTGAATCGCCTATTAAAGTCCCAAATCTGGTCACTGATAAGGGGAAATCACGTTGATTGGAGTCTGCCGAAAGCCCTTTGCCTTGCTTTTCTTGGTCTGTTCCAAGCATAGCATTGCGCATACATAAATAGGGAAGCAAGCCGAGCACGTCATCAGCACACAAGTCCTTCACTGGGTCAACGGAGGTTTTTGCTTCTTCTCCGGCGAAGGAGGGGGAAATAGCAGAGCCGCCGGATATGGCTTCGTGGAATTCAGGTCCGCTCGAAGTCACATACCAATTACTGGGTTGGTCCGCTTTCACCTGCTGGTCTATCAGTTTCTACCCTCAAGTCATCTTGAATTTTCGCAGGAAAAGGTAATAAAATCATTCTGAACACCATAGTTTCACGCTTGGTTCTTTTCTCAACAGCCTTGGCTTTATATAACTCTCTTGGTTTGTCTCAGTGTCGTGGGGCTCAACTTTGATTTCGCCCTGTTGAATCTGATCAAGCACTCTTCCTATCTCATCTACAACGCCTCTATGTTCTTCAGTTCCGCTGTTCAGAAGCAGTATTTTGAGGAATACGGCTATGGAGAGGTCCGTTCTATATACTTTGATGCAAGTTCTTGAATTGAGAATCCATATTCAATAGTCGTAATTCTATGTCAGGGGGAAAAGTAGGACTCCTTATTATAATCCATGCGACAAATATAAAATTTAGAGCAAATATCTTATCTTAGCTTGGTTTTTAGGTCATGTGCGATGCGGGTGACCTATCTCTACTAGTCTTGGCTGTACTTGGTAGGAAAAAAACATCAGCACTGGTTTCCTCGCCGCTTGCGTTTTTTTTGTTTTTTAGCCAGAGAGCTGGTTTTCCATGGGCGGAAAGAAATTTAGTCTCAAAAAAATTAAATTAAATTAATAACAATTGTATCCTTAATAAATTTGTTCAAAGAATGGGTTGCAAGTACTAATTTAATTTAAATACTTATAAACAGAAATCTTAGTTAGAGTTTGAGTGTTATATTTGAAACTTGAAAATTTTATCTGCAATTAAAATCGTTGAATTTGTAATTGTCTGAATCATATTTTCAATTCATTTTTTAAAAAAATTACACCCACTTGGTTATCATTAATTCAATCTTTTGGCACCTAATTATCATTCTCCCTTTTCTATCTCTACCGTGAGAAAATTCTACTGGAGTTTTCTAAATGGAATTCTTTTCAAGTCTAATTTTAATAGAATTAAAAACAGGATTACGTAGTCTTGTTTCTGGAACAATGATCAAGGTAATTCGGTGGTCAATTTAGCATTACCTTGGATTTTGAGTTGTCATGTTGAGACCCGTCCTACTTTTGTCCGCACTGGAATGCTAGCTAGCTTCAGGTGGATGAAACCTCGTATGCAGAGGATTTAACTTCAGTACTTGAATTGAATAGAAAATCCACCTTGATTAATAGCAATGCTTTGTTAGAGGCAAAAGTAGGATGCCTAATTATCATTAACATAATAGAATAAAATATATAACAATTATTATAGCTTATTTTTCAGACCCTGAATGATACAGACGATGATATTTTGTATTTATGTTTTTTGATTTTAGATGATACCTGTAGCAGCAAATGATGTTGCTTTCTCTGCCCATGCCGTGCTACTCACTGCAATTACTTTGTTTCAAATTGTGATCTATGAGGTAAGTGGTGGACTTTATTATCTGTTGATTTTGTTTTATTGGTTAAATTCTGAATTGCCCTGAACATCGTGACTTGTTCATATAGCGTGGAACTCAGAAAATCTCCAAACTTGCCTTTGGAATTGTCTCTGTGGTATTGCTTACTGCTGCGGTTTGTTTCTTCATAGCTTTGCCTTCACACTCTTGGCTTTGGCTCGTCTCCGTCTTCAAGTATGTTGACTCTTCTTTATACTTATTCGCGTTACTGTGCTTTTATGCAGAAAGATTACACTTCAGTTTCTTCACTGTTGTTAATCCTTAAATAGTTTGTTGCCAATCTACATGGGACCAAAAAAACAATTGTATCATGCGTTGTCTTACAACGTGGGGCCAACAGGCATGATGATTGATGAACATTCCTACATTGACTTGTTTCCAGTTTTCAATTTTCCATGGTCATGATGGACCAATAGGAATTAGGCCCTTCCTAACTTTGTATTAAAATTGATGTTGCAGCACAATTCAAGTATGTATGACAATCATAAAATATGTTCCTCAGGTTAGTTTTTTTCTTATCTTCTTGTTTCATTTCCTTTTTCGTTTCTTTATTATGTATTCATTTGGCGTTAATAAATTGTGTCGTGAATGAATATAGGCAATCATGAACTTCATGAGAAAAAGTACTGACGGCTTCAGCATTGGCAACATTCTGCTTGATTTCTCTGGAGGCATATCAAACTATGGACAGATGGTTGTGCAGTCCATTGATCAAGGTGTGTGATTTCCTCCATTGATAAGGCATAAGGGTTTATATTTTAGGGGAAACCATTAGATTAACATGTTGTAAATTGATGTTTTTCATTAATTTTTCAGGTTCTTGGGTCAACTTCTATGGGAATGTAGGAAAACTGATGCTGTCTTTGGTATTGAAAAATCTCAAACTCTTGTAGCCTATTAACAGTGAAATTTTGGTTCGGTTTAGGTAAACTAATGTGGATTGGGTTTTGAATAAAATTGAGAATTGCAGGTGAGTGTATCCTTTGACATATTTTTCATGTGTCAACATTACGTGTTTTATCCTGCCAAGAAAGCTTTAAAATCAGTGGCTTCTGTGGAACCTGAGGATGACATCAAAGAGCATCTTGTGCGACGTTGTGATGAACCAGTAACAGCGATAGAGAATGTGTGAAGTGTGATTTACTTCGTAATGATCATGTCAGCCTTCCTTGGATGAGTTCTTAAATTCCATACAGAAGGAGAATCATACACTTCAGTTTCCTCTTGAGAATGAATGTTGTGTATATATTTGTTCCGCGTTACTTTTTATTTATATTTTCCTTTTTTTGTTCCTCTTTAATTCGCTCTATGAAGCCAACAAATATTATGGGGCTTCTAAAGTGAAGGTGCCGTTACAATTTAGCAGTTATTGAAGGAGGCACTAGTGGTCCTGGCATGCACAATTTCATGGGAAATATAGATTTGGTCGCTGCCTCTAGCCATCCCCCTATCCATTTGTTTATTCTCTTGAGTGTAATGCTTCCCAGACAATGACATGATCAATGTCAGTATCATTCATGTATTAAATAAAAACTCTTATGTTTATCAAATAGTACATCACAATTCTTTCTCATTCCTACGTTTTTGTTTTGGCTAAAATTCATAAATTATAAATTCTAAAATTATTTAAGTGTGTGTACATAAACCACATGTCTGGTTATGACTATCTCATGAGAGCAGAAATAATAAAAAGCCTAATTAAACCAAGAGTAACAATAAGGGTGTCTTTGAATATGGGTAATAATACTCATTACTTCTCTCTGATCCTATTTCACGGATAGAGAGAGATGATTAATTTTGATTATATTTACAAAGTATTTCATTATTTTTTATATTCATCTTTACCTTCTTGCCCTCATTACATGTAAGGAAAAAATATTAAAAATAATTTTAGTTTTTATCTAAGTTAAAACTTATAAAATTTTAAGATAGAGTTAATGAGGTTTAAAATGATTTATAAATAGAATCATGGAAAGTAATTTTTTAAAAAAAAATTATTGAGAATTAATAACTAAAATCTTATAAATAGAACTGGATCAATAAAAAATCTAATGAACTGTAGACCTAATGAAAAAAGAGCTATGGATTTATTATGTCTTGTTTTTGTAGAGTATGCTAATAGTTTGCTTGGTGGACACTCACCGGAGGCGAAGACCAATGTTACAACAAAATTGAATTAAGCACCTTGCTCCCCAAGTTTTCATTACTGCGCCTATGGTTATATAAACCAAACCACATTCCCTCCTTCTTACCTCAATTTTCCGAGGCCCACATTACTCCACCCCATGAAGACAGAGGGTCGCCAACGTGGAATGGTCAGGTCTTACCAGATCCTACCGCCATCCCTCAACCCCCGACCCAAGACCCGATTCCGGAACCGCTTCGATTCACCTCCCTCCGCCGGCCTCTTCACCAAGGTTCCCTCTAAACCCAACAAGCACTGCAAGTTCACCGGCAAGGGCGCCGTCTCCGGCTACAACGCCTGCCACGTTCTCCCCTCCTCCAAGTCCAGGCACAAGGCGAAAGGCACCCACAAGCTCAAATCCTCCGACGTCTCTTGGAGCGCTCGCCTCGCATCTTGGCGGATTGTTGATGCCCGCCCCGGTTTCGCGCTCTCCGGGCTATCCGTTACCCAGATGTTAGACCGTCTTTCTGTCGACGACTCCGAAAACGAAGGTTGTGAGGAGATTGTCGGTGATTACACTGTGGGTCCGAAGGATTCCTATTCTTTTGTTGACCTCTTTCGTAGTGGTGATGATGTAGGGAATAGCTGCGATGAAGATGGAAATGGTTTTTGCGAGGGTGAGTCACGAAACTGACGACTGACGAGGCTTACATTTAACCATTTCTGAGATGGGATTGCAGATGGAGCAATTCCGGGTCGAAGAAGATGGAGATTGGTATTTAATTAAATGCTTAAGTGGTTAAACAATTTTCCGGTGGGATTATGATGTGGATTAAGGGGGTTGAGTTTGGACCTTAAACTGCTCAGTTTGAAATATTATCTTCGGTGATAAGTGGAATTGGAGATCTTTGCTGTTGCTGGCGTGTCGTATTATTTATATATATATATATATATATATTATATTACTTCCTTATATCTCCATTTTTATCAAATTATAAATTTATTCTCAATCGTACCCAATAGTTTGCTAAATTTCATTCACTCACGTTATCATTAATAAAAATTTAAACTATCATTAAACTTTTTCAATAACCTCAATAAATACAAGTTTCAGATATTTATGATTCTCATCAATCAATTACTGTCAAAATTATTAATGTAGAGTTTAAATATTTTAACTATTCTTATAATATTTATTTTAGTTAATGAATTTGAACTCATAATTTATATAAATCGAAATTACTCTTTCAACTTAAACCTTAATTTCACTCTTCACAAAAATGAAAGGAAAGGGGAAGAGATGGGCTTAGTAATTTTATCTTAATATCACCAATGATTCTAATGTACGTGCTTTAGTAGAGTCAAGTCATGCCTTTCTTTCATTTTCTTCCTCTCTTCCCTTCTAAATTTTTGAACAAATGAGCACTGACTTAGCCAGAATTTTGGCCGTGTGTCGCGGTGCATGCAACCTTTCGTTGCAGGGCATGGCACAGAAAGGCATTTTTTTGTGAAGATGCCTTTATGCATCGTAGTGGATTGTCCATACGTCGTGCCATATGGCATAGATGATTCTTCTTCAAATTTTTCTCTTCTTTCCTTGCCTCGATGGCCCAACTTTGCTTCGAATTCACATTTAGGGTTGAAATCACAATGAAACACATTTATTAAACTTCTCTGGCCACACACTTTATTAACTCATTAATTACTTTTATTAAGCTTAATTAATTAGGTTTAGATTTTTAAGATATTACACAATCAATACCAATTATAGAAGGATCTGGCTATTCTAAAAATGAAAAAAAGGCTAGTTGTTGCTTGAGTTACTTTATAAGATGGAGGCTTTTCGGATCAACTAGTCTATTGTGAGCTTGCATTTAAAAATGATGAGCATGTTAAAGCCTTCTTTAAGTGGTGAGATCAACTTCATTTTATATAGTTTTTAGTGGCTTTTACTGATTATTTTTAGCTTGTTTGTGCCTCTCTACTCCACCAAAGCTCACTTTCGACTCCTGAGGATACTCTTTCTCATCTCTTTTTTTGACTAAACTCATCTGGGCCTTCTCTTGCGGGCCTTTCACATGGCTTTCTTTATTCTTGGAAGGAATTATAAGCTTTGTCATTGCTATCCTCAGTCTACTCAATCTTTTAATCAGTGTCCATATATCGAGTTATAGCTTGCTAGAAGAAAGGACACATTGCTGTGAATTGTCCTTCTTTGACTTGTCGCTATTGTAAGAAGCTTAAGTATCTCATTAATCAATGCCCTACTTGTCACACCTGAAAATGCAATGTATATATTTTTTAAAATTTTAATCATTATACCTATGAAGTTTTATTAACTCACATGGTAATAAGATTATTTTATAGGTCTAGAGAGATTCAAAAATCTTACATGACTGAATGATCTCATTAGTAAAGGTGATCATAATTTAAATATATTAATTTGATTAATTAATTTTTTTAAATGTGTATTATATTATTATTTATTTATTATAAAAATTGAGAATCACGATATCTGTGAGGATTTATTATCCCACACGGTAATGTGCTTAATTTTAATCTTTACAAAAATTCTTAAAATCTCACATGGGACTTAAATATTTTATTGATTTAAATTATAAAAAAGAGAGCTAATTTTAATAGTGCGCTATTGGAACCCATTTTTAATATACAAGTTGGATCTTTATAGCTGCAAAATCTTATTAATTTACATGATATACGATCATTTTAAATGTCTATGAAAATTTTAAATTTCTCTTACGATATTGGTTATTTAAGAATATATCTCTTTTACTGTCTGTCATCCAAAAATTATTGTATTTCACTCTACAAATGAACTTTAAGAATGATAATTTAAAATTTTATACATCAAATTGCACATGTAGAGAAATATGAATATAAAAATTTAGCTCAAGAATGCCTTTGTACAGGAAGGGAAAAATTCACCAATTAAACTATAAAAATTGACATGTAGTTTATTGATCCACTCTTAGAAACTAATGTAATTGAATATGTAAATAAGATCTAAAAATCTTAAGAATTTTATGTCTCAAACAAGAGTTAGAGAGTGTCATGGATACAAAGTTTTGAACTAAAGTCATCTCTATATCAATATGTTAAAAAATTATAAATCAGGTTATAACAAACTAATAGAGGAAAACTTTTAATGACCATTCTGCAAAAACCAACATTTTTGACTGTGTAAATGGGCTCCAAAAATTATGAAAATTTTAGGGATTAAAGTAAATAGGAAAAGGAATGTCTGTGCAAAATATTAGGTAAATACCATGCAAATATAGATAAAGAAAAATCAACAAAGTAGGCTATATTTAAGTCATAAAATTAAAGCGAAGAATCTCAAGATAGCACTTGATATTAATGCACATCAACACATTTCCAAACTTCTCATGTTCACATAAGACCTTAAGCTGATACGTGAAGAGGCATACATTCAATCTTGAATTTTTAGCAAGCAAAAGGAAGGGAGAGCAACACAAGTTGGCTTACCGGGCATTATTAAGATATTCTATTCAAACATCGCACTGAGTGGAAAACCACACCTTTAAGCTCTCCTACAATAAATGCTTCAAAGAATATTAATCCTGAGCTACCCTTTTCCTCCCGGCAGGAGATTCTGCCAAGAGTTCTGGTTTTTATCTCCCCTCAGGGGTCATTGTTTTTATCATTGCTTCCATGAGCTTTAAACTCTTCTCTGCTTCTCGAATTTGTGCAGGACTAACCTTCCCCATGCCAGGAATCATTCCTATGACATGAGACACATAACCCATTTTTGTTACAGCACGAGTTTGTTTTTGAAAATCATTAAAGTCAAACTTCGCACTCATAATCTCCTTTTGCAGTTCTTTAGCATCTTCTTGACGCATAACTTCTTGCGCCTTCTCTACAAATGATAGAACATTTCTCATTCCTAATATTCGCCCTGCCATTTGATCAGGGTAGAAGGGTTTAAGATCATCCATGCGTTCTCCACCTCCTCGATCCTTGTTCAGACTCCCTTTTTTCTTTTGGTCCTCTCTTGCTCCAACCTCATTTTGGTTCTTTCTCTTCCTCTAACCTTTAGAAATCTGTGTTGTTGCTCTCTTAGTCTCCATCTCTCTCTCGATCTCAATCCCTGGTCAGACTCTCTGCCTTCTCGTTCTCGGTCCCTCTCCCTTATATTGAAGATGAAAATGAAAAACCAAATACTTGGGTAGCCTTCCATCCTCGTCTGCTTTCGTTTCTTCATTTTCATCTGCTCTCTCATTTTTTTCTGCGTGTAGTCTGTTGTGTTTGCTCGCCTTTTGTCTCTATCTTTTTTTGCTTTTCTTTCCTTCCTCTGCATTTCATGCTTGGATTCCTGCATGTGTTTCTTTTTTAGAGGTAAAGCTTCGTGCATGCGTCTACACATTTTTGCTTTGTCTGCTCTTTGCTTCTTCGTACACAAGTCTGCTATTAAGTGAAGACTTTTTTTCCTGCCTTCTTTTTGTCTCAGTTCTGCTCCTTGTTTCTGGCCAAAAGTGTTTTGCATGACTAGCGTTTCTCTTTGCGTTTTTCTTTTGTGGCTGAAAGTTTGCTTTCCTTCTCTTCATGTATGTGTTCTCTACATGGCTGCATTTATGCTCCTCACTTTTCTTTTTTGCTGGGTTTTTGTATGGTCTTCTCTTCTCGCATGTCTGGTTGAAAGTCATTTTTGTGTCCTGCTCTCTGCTTCTCTACTCCATCTTTCTGCATGCGAGTCTAATCTCCTTTTCTCCTTCTTGCTTGAAAGGTAATTTTGGGCCAGGTGATTCATCATTTCACCCGCCCATTCATTTTTTTTCATTTTTTTGTTAATCAAATTAAGAGAGAGAGAAATCTGATTTTGAAATATATATTTATTTTTTTATGAAAAATAATAAGATTTAAAAAGTTAACTTTTAAAAGTTGATTCCCAACATTTTTAAATGGTTGGGATAATTTGGGAGAGATTTTTTAAAGATTTAAGTAAAATTTTTTTTATTTTGTTAGATTATTATTATTTTTTTTGAAAATATAATTCTAAAAAGGATTAAATTTTGTTTTTGTATTTTTATATTTTTTGATTATTTTAATGAACTAAAAGAAATAAAATTTTAACTAATAAAAGATTATTTAGGTTAAAATAAAATTAAATCCTGTTAATTAAAATTTTTTTATTTTAAAAATATAATCATAAAAAGGATTAAATTTTATTTTTGTATTTTTATATTTTTTGGTTAAATTTATTATTATTTTTATTAAATTTAAAAAATGCCTGAACAGAATACAGTGTTCACACTACCCCTCCTCCCAAACTTGGTTAGGGGAGGACATTTATGTCTGGTTCCTCATGATCTAAGCCTGCTCTTTTTGTTTACTAATGAGTCATCTACTATTGCTGCTTCTACTTAGGGATTCTCTACCATTGCTAAACTTGAGTTTCTACTTTGTAAGATCATCTCCAGTTCTTCTGGCCCACCCGCTGCCTTAGCCACACCTTCAAGTACATCCTCTTAGTATTTTAATTTCACCTGTTATTATAATATCAGCCTTGACATTGCCAATAGTTGCCACAATCACAATATACAGTGGTAAATAGGGGCTATAAATCACTCCAAAGCTTACCATAAACTTGTTTGAATTCAAACTTAATAATTTTTAAACATATAGGAAGCATGGAAAAGTTTAAGAAGTAAAACACTTGAAAATAGGGTCAAACATATCATTTTAGCACATTCTAGCATGTATATCATGGCATGTGGCACAGAGAGGTCAATTTGACCTTTATATTGTGTGTTACAACTTGTGTACAACATGTTGCAGCAGACGTGACCCTGTCATGACAGCTTTTCAAGGAAAACTTCGAACATGCGTCATTTTCACATCTGATGTTCAATTGGAGTAAT